GGCGAGTAAACAAAAAAATATACTAGCCAATGGCGATTCAATTGCCAAGGTGTCCGTTGAGGGTTGACTGTATAAAACCAGTTCGTGCTGCACTGTATTTGTTTTGTACTATCGTATCTATCATATGTTGTTGCCTTATTAAAAAATATGCTAGAGCATCCCTAGTAAATAATCAGTTAAAGTGAGATGACAAGTCAACAGGCTAATGTCAGATCTAAAGAAGGTAACAGACTGAAAGCTAAAGCAACTGACAGCTGATAAGAAGTGAATAATTAACAGTCAGGGAAGTTGGTAAACAAAGAGATGTGTAATTAGAAAAACAGACAATGGACTTGTGAATACATAAACAATAATTTCCACAGTGAAACGTATCTTATACTGTGGAAAGAAGAAAACAATTAAATGTGATGCGTTAACGTGATAAACAAGTGCACAAGAGTGCTGTGCACACAAAGAGATGCGATACCTCGGTGGGCCAGCTTCTGAAGAATGTTCCTCAAATGCTGCACAGCTGCTGCAGACACATCGTAAGTGTGGATAAGTGAACCTGAATATCTCTGACATCGACCAAACACCCCATCTGCAAAATAAATACACAGACAACTTTTACAACCAAATCCTGTATGATATTATGATTATAAAAAAAATTATTTTATGTATGCCATGTCAGCAGCAAGATCTTCATGGCAAGAACAAAATGGATAACAAAAATCATACAATTAACAAAAAGCTATATAAGACATTTAAAATTCATAATACAAAAATTCTAAAAAAAAACAAACAAAAAAAAACATTAAGGTGATACTTTTTAAATACACAAGTTTAACATATTTCTGAATAAAAATGTTGTCTATTTACATTAAAATATATTTTTACTATTATACCCCGATGTATGAACAGTATTCACACAAACCACCCTAATAAAATACTTCAAGTTCATGTTGTGCAAATATCAAATAATCAAACATGGCAATAATTCCATCAGGATCACAGTATATGATTTATTGAGGCAAATAATATTTTGTATCAGGTAAACAGCTTCCTGCTCTTTAAATTAGCAAGAAACCATATAATAGTATGATTTTTAAATGTTGTGTGTACAGCACAACATTTGATTGAGCAAAAAAAGTATTTTTAAATGTATAAGTGTTGTTCCTCTAGATCATGATAATGACCATTATAACAGAAAACCTGCTGAAGGAAAAAGCACAACTGTATGTGTCTACTGGCCATCAGTTTATTTTGTGAGGCTGAAGTTTCTGCTTGGGGTCATAATAGCCACAGGGGTTTATGGTATTTTCTTTCTTTCTTTCTTTTTGACACTTTCAAGATAAGCACACAGGTCATCAGGAAACGCACCTATATAGAGACACACACACACACATTATCTGGCCCCTTGTTTATCTCCCCATCACCAGGGACCCAGTGCCACTCAATAGTCCGTTGCTAGGCAACCCAAACCATGGCTCAGATTGGCTTCATAATTCAATGGCTATCTGGGCGAACATGGAGGATTCAGGGTATAGCAGCGGACCTCACGAGGAATACTAATGACCACAAGTGTTCCTCCACCGTGTAAGAGCAGTTTTCATCTCCACCACGACGGTATGTGATGGGATCTGTCAGACTAATGTTGTATGATAAGGCATAAACGGTCAATATAATTAGCCTTATTGTTTCATCGTAAATAATTCTGTCATTGTAAGCGCCAAACTGGCTCACTTTATATATTTAGGGAAACAAGCAGCTCTTTGGCAGAATTGTATTCTAATATGTGAACATGAGCATGTTTGAACACAGTAGGGGAGAATGAGAGAGAATAAGTGCAATAAAAAAGAATTCAATGCAATGAGAGGAAGCAACTGACCCTTCGCAGGGTTTGACTGAAAGGCGATCTGACCAATCATAATGCCAAATCCGCCATTTTGTCCAACAAACAAACCAGACAGGAGAGTAGATTAACTTTGGTGGACTTAAACTTTAAAAAATGTGTGTACTGACCAATTCGGTGTTTGCAAACAGTGATGATGTTGATTTGTGGGCGGAGCCTATCTAGTGGCAGAAAATGACCATTTTCAAGTAGCAGTCTATGGAAGCCATGGAATAAAAGAATAAAAAAAAGGTACATTTGAGTTTATATTTCAAAATTCTGACTTTATTCTCGCAATTCTGAGATTACATCTCACAGGTCTAATAAGGAAAAACAACTCGTCATTCTCTCTTTTCCCCTCGGCTCAGAATCATGAGTTTATATCCCCGACTTCTGGCTTTTTTTGACAGAATTGACAAACTCGCTATTGTTGAGTTAAATTGAGTAATAAAGTCTGAACTAGAAGATATAAACATGCATTTGCAAGAAAAAAGTCAGAATTGTGAGATAAAACAGGTAAATGTTATGTAAAATGTTAATAGTAATAGGGGTAAATAGTATTTTATGCTGTAACTGTAGGGCTAATACAATATATCCCCTATGAACAGCAAATGTGAATATTTATTTTATTTTTTTTATTTATGTTTAGTAAATATGAAAAGACGATCGGTTCACGTGCCACTTGAACTGAGGCGCTACAGTGATCTGTCATGACACAATAAAGATCCACAAAACGTTATTTATTGTTTGAATTTCTTTAAAAAATGACAAAATTTGAAAGCTAAGACTTCACACCAGAAGTAACCTGCTCTGTCTCGTCTGTCAGCAAGTTGTCAGTTTCCTCTTTGCTCCGCGATGTATTTTTCACTGCATGAGAACATGATGTGTGGCATGAGAGCTCCATGGCTTGTCAGATATAGCAACAGTAACTAAGGGGGGCAGGTCTTTACGAAGGGTCAATTAAGAGAATACGAACTGAAAATGAGACAACAAAAACAGCATACACAGACTAAACATCCTACTCCTTTTAATACTCATCACATTTAATTGTTCTCCTTTTAACTTGAAACCTGCAATGTCCAAACTTTTTTACATGCACAGCAGACACATGTCATAACCACCAGTAAACAGACCCTTTTCACTGCCTCCTTGCGGTTTCCATAGCAACCTCCCTCACTGTCGGCTGCCTTTTTTTTCCAGCCGTCTCCGGAATAATCACACTCTAATTACAGTCATCGCACTCAAATATAGACTCGGCTACGTTTTTTTTCTATCCCACGATTCCTCGAGCTCTACACTGTACAGTACAACCATAAAACAGAGCCTCAGGGAAATAGAGTGAGTGGAAATATAAAATCTATCAGAATTATCAAACATGATACATTTGCTTCCCACTTGGTGGTAAATGATATGCCTCTAGAACTCTGCACTTTGCCACTCATTTGCAAAATGCTCTTTATACTAGCTACGATAAGCTTAATAACAGCTCTGAGAGCTCTGGTGGGTCCGTCGTCAAGAAAATCCTGGACAGCTCCATGATCGGTATTGTGGCTATTATTTCCTCTGATAGATCAGAACTGAAGTGAAAATGGAGAATATAGATTGACATTTCACAACATTTGACCTATTTACAGAAGGTCTGGATCTCTCAAACTGCCTCTGTCACAGTGAAACAAGCTGACAAATGGTTTCAAGCATGTGATACTCTAACCTTACAGGCAAATCAATTATATTAAAATGAGCATTTTTACAAACAACGAAAATGACTGTATTAAATATTTCAAAGAAACAAATGATTATTTTAAACAAAAATGTAAACTTCTAATAGTAATCAGATTGTTAGAATTATGCCATAACCAAACCAATAAGCATTATAAATACTTCACAATTATTGGTCAACACTCTTGTCACTCTGATTATATTGAGCTAATATTATATGAAAATGTCTATTTGTCTCACTCATAGTGCCACCACCTTAATGTGCTGTAATTCTTGTGATATACCACAAGGAGGAGACTTAACAAGCAAAAAGTGTGACTGATACACTCCTTTTCTGAGATCACAGAACAGCCTTCCTGTGGGAAATGAATGTGTTAAATATATTCATGGTCTATAGTAGTAGCAGATACTGTCTAAATCTGTCATTAGGGATGATTGCTCAAATTCTAGATGTTTTTTATTTTAATTGTTTTGTTGTTTTATGTGTTAATATAATGTAGCTCCACCGAAGAGAATGACTACATCATTCAAATCAATTATTTTAATTACATTCTAAAAATAGTTCAGTAAAACACAATTCTTACTAAGACAAGAAGCCAGTAGATATTGGCTTTGACTGATGGATCTGAAATCAATATGCACAGCCAAATAAAACAGAGTACTATTTTAAGCAAATGACACTACTGCACAGACTGAGAGCATTAGGATTGTAATAAGAAAGCAGACCGCATTTCAAATCATTTGCTGAAACTACTGAACTGAAACAAACAGTAGGAAAAAAAATGCAAATACAGAGTAACTATACTATGTGACACTTCTGTGCAGTACAGTACAAACAAAAATTAATAAAATAAATCTAGTCTGCCAGTGCATTTGGCAAAGACAGAAGGGAGAAAAATGAGACGTTAAACTTGTGTCTCATATCTAAGATGTTCTCTTTTTTGAGGAACTGGCATTAAAAGCAAATTGTGGATGCCAGACTTGCTATGTGGTTTTCTTTTCTCATCTCTTTTGTTTCCCCATGAGTAAACAGATATAAAGCACTTCTTCTAGGAAGCGACAAGACAATATTACAGCACAAAGTGTGTTTAACCTTGTCTTTCCCTGTCCAGTCAGTTGAGGTCACTGGATCTGCTTTACTCTTTAATGCAAACTATAAAACAATTGAAATGTCTCCTGTCCCTTCTCTCAGGTTATGAATCCTAACCCATCACATTAAACCCACATTTAACCGAGCTGCCGTCAGAGATGGTGAGGACCTGAAACGAATTGCTGTAATATAGCCAAATATTCACAAATAACAATAACTCACAATTTCCTCCTCAATGGCTGTTTCAACAAGAGAGCAGGTCATGAGGATGCAAACGGAGCTCTTGGGAATGAGGCAGTGAAGCACGTCTCCCATTGGCAATGCTGAGGCAATTATGTTAATCGATGAAACAAGTGAAACACGATGTTGCAACCAAATCGATAGTAATTCTGATTTTCGCTCTTTTTCCTGAATTTTTTTCCCGGTCTGCTGGTCAGTCGAGACCTTGGTGTACAAGTCATGAGATGGGCAGATAATGACAGAACAGGAGGCTGTGGTCGTATGTGAGACAACAGCCACAATGAACAACAGAGAGCTTCAAATTTATTCAGATACCCAGTCAGCTGTTCAAAGACGTTAAAACCATTACTATAATGAGTCTCAGACAGACCACACGGATCGCCGCAGAAAATCGATTCCACAGTGCAGAGTGAACCACAGAGTGATACTAATGAAGATAAAGAACAGCCGGTGCCACAGAAAAGGAGTCCATTTTTGCAGCATTAAGAACCACAAATTCAGTAGATTATCTGGATATGTTGAGGCCTTTGTTCATTGAGGCAATTAGTTCATTTGCAGATCTAACTGAAAGTTAAGCAAATACAGCAGTGTAATTGTTACCAAGACATTACGTACTGTACCTTATAACCCAAGGCAATATTATTATGGTCAACTGATATGT